GAGTGCTCAAATTTTCGGGCCTGGGCCCTTAGTCTTAATTTATAAAACCCTTAGTGTCTGGTTGACCCTTCCACTATTCGCTATGACGCGCCCTGACCACCAGGGGGCAGCAAGACGCTCAACGCAGGAGCTGCCCCCTGGTGGTCAGTCCACTCCTACAGCTGACTGACGGGCGCCAGATGCCAGGCTCATGGCTGGTGAGTGCAGCTGCGGCAGGCACAGCAGGGCTGAGATGAGCGCGAGTGGCGCCCAGCCTGGGCTCGGACTCCTCCCTGGCCACCTGCTGCTTCACACCTACTACATTCCTCGGGGGATGTTGGACTGCCGGTTTCTGCCCGATCCCCACTGGCCAGGTTATCAGGCTGAAACCGGCAGTCTGACATCCCCCGAGGGATCCCAGATTGCGGATTGCGAGAAGGGCGCAGGCCAGGCTGCAGGACCCCACTGGTGCAAGAATCCGTGTACCGGGCCTCTAGTACACCTATAAAGCTTGAAGTCGAGCCAGAAGATCTTTAACTAATAATATGATGCACTTCATCTGAGAATTTTCTCTACAACCTGTTTAGTCAGGCTTTGCACCCAGACAGGCCAGACTACATTGGGGCTGTAAGTAAGTAAATGAAAAATTTTCTTCAATATTTTTTTGGTCTAAACCTTATTATATAATTACTTCATTTGGAATTAAGAACTAAACATTGATTTGCCCAACATAATACAGTTTGCACTTTTGCACTATATTTTTCAATCAGAAAATATCCCCTTATAATGACCGGAGAGATATTTTGTTACTTTTTTACTTATTTGTGATTTTTATTACTTTTCCAAAGTTTCACTTAAAATAAAGTTGTTTCTTTAATGTTTGGGTGGGATGGTAGCAAAAACACCCTTACTTATAGATGCCTATTCAATGAGTCACTCACTTCCTTGCTGACTCGATTTTTTTATCTGGTGCTGCTATTTTTTTCTTTTGCCCCTTTCTCTGTTGCTGTTGAGCCTGACCATCTTACCTAATACCCAAACTATTACCCTGTGCTCAAAGACTTAATGGTTCCTTTTTTTAGTTTCTAGCCCCTAGGGAGTAGGGTCCCCTGGTCCCACAGCTATAGGAAAAGAAAACCAAACCAATACAAACTTCAAAATTGGCGAATAGTTTATATATCTCTTAAGCATGGTACTAAAATTCACGTAAATTATGGGTTAGACTTCTGTGGACTTACCTGGGAAATGAACTACAGTTTTATAACATTGGCCCAATGAGAAACTGCTTCAAACAATGAAATTATAAACTATCTTGGAAATTTTGTTTTTAACGGGCTATTTGAAGTCAGATTCTGGTTTTAAGTGGGTCTCCTTCTTTTGCCTTTGTTTTGTATGATATATATTTAATGTCTATCCTATGTAATGTGTAAATATATAATGGCAAAATCCAGTGCCTTAACATAGCATAGCAATTATATATTAAGCAGAAGCCCAGTGCACAAATTCGTGCACGGGTGGGGCCTGGCTGGCCCGCCCTGATTGGGGCTAGGGGAGAGGCCTTGGGCAGTTGGCCAGCCAGCCCCACCCCCTGGTTGAACTCATGGTTGAACTCCTAGTTGAAGGGACAATTTGCATATTAGCCTTTTAATGTATAGGATAAATACATACTTATTAATGAAGGTCCCAATTTTAAATAACTTAGAAATAATTCATGTAAGAATGTATTCTGATACTGGAATCCTGCTTGCCCAAGAAATTGACACGTATTTGTTTTATCTGTGGCAATATAAACACATTTTCTGAAAGCCAACTCAAAATAAGAAGTTATATCCAACCAACAATGATTAGATTTGATAATGCAAATGTGAACTGACTTCTAAATAGCAGAGGTACAGATTTTTCTGCCGGAAGCCAGTCCATCCTTGCTGCTTGACACAGTTGCTGCAGGGAAGAAACATCTGAACAGCATATGTTTCAAGGGACCTGGCGTATATGGCATACTGTTCTTAATATGTTTGATCCCCTTCTTGGCGCTATGTGTTTTAACCAAGGTCACCTCTCTGAGAAAGGTTGTTTCCCCAGGTAGGGATTTTTCCCTGAAGTTAGGGAGGGAATAAAACCCCTTAACTAAGTGCCAGGCGGGTAGTTAATCACTTTAACTACGAACAATCACCCTTAAGCTACATAATCTTTACTCCCTGAACCTTTGGAATAGAAATTGATAGGATTAAAATCAACTGGTATAAATACAGATGTAACAAGACATTGAAGGACAGAACTTGGCTGGAGATCCTGGCTAGGCTGCTGATCAACTGAATGCTGTCTCTGTGTCATTCCTTCTTCGCCAACTCCATCCACACCTTTGGGGATCCCTGGACCTGCTGGGGTTGGACCCCAACATCTGGCGGGAGGTGTGATCCCGAAGACTGGGAGCCAGAAATGGGACGCCATTCATCAGATACTGAAGAAGAAAGCAGAAGCAAGAGAAAAAAGAAACATTGTAGACGGTCATCTTCAAGTAGTTCTTCAGATAGTAGAACATATAGCCGAAGGAAAGATGGAAGGAAATCAAAGTCAAAGTCAAGATCTTGGTCCAGAGATCTTCAGCCTCGCTCACATTCTTATGATAGAAGACGGAGACATCGATCAAGCAGTAGCTCTTCTTATGGCTCTAGAAGAAAACGAAGTCGAAGTCGTTCAAGGGATTGGGGGAAATCCTATAGAGTTCAGAGGTCTAGGTCAAAAAGCAGAACAAGAAGGTCCAGGTCAAGACCTCGTCCACGTTCCCATAGTCGAAGCAGTAAAAGGTCCAGTCACAGAAGAACCCGTAGTCGATCTCGGGATAGAGAACAACATAAAGGCAGAGATAAGGAGAAAAGAGAAAAGGAGAAGGATAAAGGCAAGGACAAGGAATTACACAACATTAAACGGGGGGAATCTGGGAACATCAAAGCTGGATTAGAACATCTGCCACCAGCTGAACAGGCCAAAGCCAGACTACAGTTGGTTTTTGAAGCTGCTGCAAAAGCTGATGAAGCATTGAAAGCCAAAGAAAGAAATGAAGAAGCAAAGAGAAGAAAGGAGGAAGACCAAACCACCCTGGTAGAACAAGTAAAAAGAGTAAAAGAAATTGAAGCCATTGAAAGTGATTCTTTTGTTCAGCAGACATTCAGATCAACTAAAGAAGTCAAAAAGTTGGTGGAAGCCAGTGAAGTGAAGCATGTACCTGCAGCATCAGGACCAGTGTCAGTAGCTGCTGATCTACCCAGTAATGAAAAAGAAATAGACCTGAGCAGCATCCCTACTGCTATCAAGTACCAAGATGACAATTCTCTGGCTCATCCGAACTTATTTATTGAGAAAGCTGATGCTGAGGAGAAGTGGTTCAAGAGATTAATTGCTCTTCGACAAGAAAGGCTTAATGGGCAGTCCTGTGGCCTAATTAATACATATGGTTGAATTAACAGTAACATTGGAAATTTAGGTTTTTATATTCCATTTTAACTTTTTACTCTTATAAAGAATTGACCCAATTATATAAAAAGGTAATCTCATTTAATTCATTTCTCATGTGGGCTTGAATATTTGTTGACTTGAACTTAAACACTGTGAATATTAAAACTAGTGTAAAATTGAGGAATGCATGAAAATCCCTGCTGTTAATAAAGCTAATCCTAAAAATATCAATGTTAAAGTAAATGGCACACAGTATCATTTCTAACCGGTATCATCCATATTGGCCGACCCAGAGGGCACAGCTGACTCCGCTCCAGACGCCGACACCACCATCAAGCACGGCCCTGATGGACCCTTTGATCCAGCCCTTCAACGCGCTGACGCTTCGGGAAGCCCATCGCCAGCGACGCTGCCCACTAGCCAGATCAACAAGGACAACCAAACCCCTGACTTGAGGACAGCTGAAATCCCTTGACTGAAAAGGCCAGCAACCTTCTACAGGAACAAGGCTCCTTGTGCACTCCATCCACTATGTTCATAGCTATGCTCGCTATCATTGCTTGTTAGTCTTCTTCCAAGTCTTAAATAACCCAATCCGAGAGGTGGCCACTGATTTACATGCGCTATCATTTAAAAAATAAAAAGGGAATTTGCCGGAAGCCGGTCCATCCTTGCTGCTTGACACAGTCGCTGCAGGGAAGAAACATCTGAACAGCATATGTTTCAAGGGACCTGGCGTATATGGCATACTGTTCTTAATATGTTTGGTCCCCTTCTTGGCGCTATGTGTTTTAACCAAGGTCACCTCTCTGAGAAAGGTTGTTTCCCCAGGTAGGGATTTTTCCCTGAAGTTAGGGAGGGAATAAAACCCCATAACTAAGTGCCAGGCGGGTAGTTAATCACTTTAACTACGAACAATCACCCTTAAGCTACATAATCTTTACTCCCTGGAATGGAGATAAGAAACGCCCTAACCTTTGGAATAGAAATTGATAGGATTAAAATCAACTGGTATAAATACAGATGTAACAAGATAATAAAGGACAGAACTTGGCTGGAGATCCTGGCTAGGCTGCTGATCAACTGAATGCTGTCTCTGTGTCATTCCTTCTTCGCCAACTCCATCCACACCTTTGGGGACCCCTGGACCTGCTGGGGTTGGACCCCAACATTTTTCCTTACTCCAGTTAAACATATATCCTTTCTATGCTATATAAATACACAAACACACACATATAAATAATATCCTGAATAATACATTCTGGAAGTGAACCTCTTATCATTTTAGTTTAGTTAGTGCCCTCACAAAGGAAAGAAAAATTAGGGCATCTGCTCAAGGCAAGTAAAATTATTTTTTTACATATGTTACTAGTAAGTTTTACTTTTTATTTCACATGATTTCTTTAGTCTAAACATTTTATCATTGTGTTTGCCTTTTTGCATGTATATAAAATGTTTATGGTTTTCTTATTGTTGTTCATTATGGGTACCCCTCCCCCCACCATACCCATACCAGAGTCTTTGAAAGAAGACATGCCTGCATCCAAAAAGTACTAGTTCCTTTCCTATCTCCAGAGTGTTATAGGTAACAGTGTTGGAGAATTCTATAAGTATAGGTAACTATGGGCATAATAACATCAATGAAGAGCTTTTGTGCTTTAATGTTTTTCTTTTGCGAATTGTTTTTTCTTTCTTTTTCTTTTTTGGTCCCATGATTCTTGTTATCTTTATGAACTCAGGGTTCAAGGTGTCAGCTAAAATACACATGGTCTTCACTAAGTGAACTTGATTGCCACTAGCCAATTGACTTGTTTGTATTGGTCCAGGTCAATAAAGTGATAAATCCTTATTCAAGAATGTGTGTCTTATATGAAAACACACACACACACACACACACACACACACACACACAAAAACAACAACAGGTCTTATGCTAAGTTTTAGAATGAAATGCCCAGGAGTCAAATCTTTAGTGGTTCTATAGCCTACACAAATTCTTATGCATTAAATGCAAGTGTGACATATTTTGCTCTTTCAATTATTTTCTTAGGCACATACTTGTGACTTTAAATCACTCGAGTATCGATATCTGAATGTTCAATGTCTATAATATCTGTAAGTTCATGTCTACAATTCCTCTCTCAACTTCACTGGAATTTTTAAAAATATGCATTATGTATATTTTATTTTATTTTTTAAATATTTTTATTGATTTCAGAGAGGAAGAAAGAGGGACAGAGAGATAGAAACTTCAGTGATGAAAGAGGATTGTTGATCAGTTGCCTCCTGCATGCCCCCTTCTGGGGATTAAGCCCATAACCCCGGCATGTGCTGTGACTGGGAATCAAATCATGACCTCCTGGTTCGTAAGTCAATGCTCAACCACTGAGTCACACTAGCCGGGCCATTATGTATATTTTACACTTAAAGTAATTACACCTCTGGCCAGTTAGCTCAGTTGGTTAGAGTGCTGTCCCCAATATGCCAAGATTGTGGGTTTGATCCCTGGTCAAGAATCATAGAAGCAGCAGCAAATGAATGCATAAATACTAGGTGTACCAGTTAATAATGCAGATTTTTTTCAATTGATGGAGTTACACATATGTTGACATATATGCGATTTGATATGTATGCTATTTTGTTGTATTGATAGCAAGTTTCAAAACTTCATATGTCAAATTTGCTGAAGGTGTTAACATCATAGATATTTTTACACTTAAAAAATGTCGAATTTCGTGCAAAAAAAAAGAGCATTTGCGAGAAGTTTTAATTCATTATTTTGAAGAAAAGTGCTGCTGAAAGTTATCATACACTTCGGGAAGCTTATGGTGAACATGCTCCATCTCTAGATACTTGTGAACGCTGGTTTAAACGCTTTAAAAGTGATGATTTCGATGTGAAAGACAATGTCCAGGTCAACTGAAAAAGTTTGAAGACCAAAAATTACAAGCATTATTGGATGAAGATGCATGTCAAACTCAAAAACAACTTGCAGAAAGATTAAACGTTGCTCAGCAAACCATTTCTGATCATTTACAAGCAATGAGAAAGATTTTAAAGGAAGGAAGATGGTTGCCACATCAACTGAACGCAAGACAAATGGAAAACCAAAAAGTCATCAATAAAATGTTGCTTCAATGGCAATAGAAAGTCTTTTTTGCATCGAATTGTGACTGGCGATGAAAAGCGGATTTATTTTGAGAATCCCAAACGCACAAAATCATGGGTTGATCCAGGTCAACCATCAACGTCGACTGCAAGGCCAAATCGCTTTGGAAAGAAGACAATGCTCTGCGTTTGGTAGGATCAGAAAGGTGTGGTATATTATGAGCTTCTAAAATCAGATGAAACCGTAAATACTGTTCTCTACTGACAACAAATAATCAATTTGAACTATGCTTTGATTGTGAAACGACCAGAATGGGCCAGAAGACACGGCAAAGTAATTTTACTTCCTGATGATGCACCATCACACACTTCAAAAACAGTTAAAGACACGTTAAAAGATCTTGCCTGGGAAGCATTAACCCACCTGCTGTATTCACCAAACCTTGCTCCTTCAGATTACCACTTTTTCCAATCGATGGCACACACACTTTTTGAGAAGCACTTCAAAACATACAAAGAAGTGGAAAATTGGGTCTCTGAATGGTTTGCCTCAAAACAAGAAAAGTTCTATTGGGACGGTATCCACAAATTACTTGAAAGATGGGGGAAATGTGTAGCTAGCGATGGACATTACTTTGAATAAAGCACTTTTGATGTTTCTCTTAAAATTATTGTGTTTTCTTTGATTACAAAATCTGCATTATTAACCGATACACCTAGTAAGTGGAACAAGTCAATGTTTCTCTCTCAAATCAATAAAAATTTGTTTAAAATAAGTTATTACAGGCTGTGGGCTGCCTTCACTAGTACTGATAACACATTCTTCTACATTTATATTTTCAAAATTGAAAATAAAGGTGGGAATAAGATCTTTCTTCAATGCATTGGGTATGTTGTATTTTAGAGCTCATAGGGGCAGTAGTATTCAAAGGGTGGGGTAGTGGGATTCTGCCCAACAGGAAGGAATATTTTATCACTGTCATTGTTTACCTTGATCCTGAAAATAAAAAGCAGATGACTTTTCATAAGGTTTAGTGTTTTTAAATTCTCTACAAACACTGCCCCCCTTATTGTCTGTACCAGCAATGAGTGCTTCCATTCCTTGCTCTTGGATTGCAGTGTATACATGACACCACATAATGGAATAGTGTTTGACTTTTATAATGACCTTCATGTTGACCCCAAGAATACCCCAATATGGAAGTAATTAGAACAAGATAAATTATAGAAAGCTCAGAAAAACTTGATGTCATAATATTGGCTTTTGATATTCTACATAGCTCTTATTTGCCTCTTTTTAATATTTTTTTCTAGGAATTTCCACAATGAATTAAGAGAATTGCCACTATTTGAAATGCTAGCAGTGTAACTTAAACCCAAATATACTGAACTAGACTTAGGAATTAGGTTTTTCTGGTAAATTATTACACACAGCTCTACTTAGTTATCTCCATAGTACTTTAAAAGAAAAATACAACAATCTCACATATTTTGTTATAATGAGCAAGATCTTTATATTCCCAAGGAACAAAACCATTCACAACAAAAGAGTAGAAAACATTTAAGAATGTATATTTATGTTTGTTGGAAATTTAAAGCTATTATTAGTTAATACTTGTGTAATTAAAGTAGAACAAAAGAAAAAAAAGTAGAATGAAATGTACTTTGAAATAATATTCATATACTGTATTGAGTTTTCAAGCTTATTACAGTACACACAAAGCAAAGTGTAATTTTTCAAGTCCAAAATGGTCAATGTTAGAAGTTATTTAATCTGAGGGGGCCTTTTAAAAGAACTACTTTTCTGACCCCCAAACCCTCTCCAATTACCAACAACAAATTATAGGCAAATTATAGCTTTACTTACCCCTCATTCCCCACAGTGTTCTAGGATTCAAATAGCTCTGATAAGAAGAAGAGATAAAGAGATTTATTTTAAAGCATTTCATAGATCAGCAAAGAATTTTAAGAAATATTTTGAGCAAATATATTTTCTCTGGCAATAGCGCTGAAACATCTTCAATCTTTGGCTATTTCTAAACCCTAAAGAATACTCTTAGGTAGTACTGATTTTGCCATTTGAAATATACATTCTGGTTTTTTATATTGGTTCCTCTTC